GTGGCAAAATACACCAGCGAATAAACCTCTGCCTGTGTTTAGTCTCGCCATTTAGCCATGGAAAGCTGTAGTAACCTGTCTTTGGAATTGTCTCTGTGTCACTCTCCCTTCCGTTGCCCGTCTGTCAGTCACTGTCTTTCACTCTCCTCTCTCTTTCCCTCCCCCCTCCTCTCTTTCTCTGTCTGCCTATCTCTCTCCATCTCAAACCCCACTTGGCCTTTCTCTTTATCTACGGTGTGTGTTGAGGGCTGCCTTGCCCTTCTGGAAATGCAATACATTCATCCTGTGCTTAATGCAAGAACTGACAAGGTTTCACAAAATTTCAATCAAATTCATGTCGGAAATGTTTCTCCACACAACTCTCAAGTAACAGCAGACCTCTATTGTCTGCGCACACATTACTTCAGCCCACCAGCCAGTGAGTGAACTCTTTTCTTCTGTCACATCGTTCATTCGGCTGATGGAAAATGTTTGATGGGGGCTGCGGAGGACAGTTTCAAAGCCAAGCTGTAAAAAGGGCTCAAACAATGCCCTAAAATAGGTGTACGCGAGCTTTGATATCTCTCCCTATCTTCTTTTATTTGCCAATTTTTTCCCCTTTTCTCCCCTCTCCTGAAGGTCCCGACTCGTTGCTGGGTTATGGTTCCACGGGCACTGCTCACCCTCTGGTACCTCGTCGAAGTGGCCATTCTTCAAGTGTCAGCCTAGATGGTGAGTTATTTGGGCAGGTTATTTAACCATTCGTTGTGGGGGGAAGGGAAGGTTCAGGGGTACAGCATTTAAACTCACCCCTGTCTACACGACACAAGAGTCACTGACTAGTAAGGGACGTCCTCCCGACCTGAAAGGCACTATGCAAATGTAATTTTGTATTGTATTTGGGAGCGGAAATACTGGCTTTTTTTTAACACTCTCATCACAGCACAGGCACACTGAGGCAAATAGTGACAGCCCTACTGAGATTAATCAACTGTCCTTAGCATTGAGCAGGATTTAATATTATAATGATAATTATTTTTTATATTGTTATTTTTAATCATGGTTATTAACAACCTTTGAGTTTTTATACAGTGCCTTTTACATTGAGGCGTCTCAAAGCGCTTCACAGGTAATGATACTGTCAGGTGCAGGGACTTGTTTTGCAGGCAAATGTGACAGCAGATTTTCACACAGCAAGGTCCCACAAAAAGCCATGAACGACCAATTCATCTGGAGGATTATTTGTTGTGACTCACGGAGAAACTCGCTTCTCTTTTCACTGGATCTTTGACGTTCACCTGTATAGATAGACAGGACTTTGGCTTAACGACTCATCCAAGGGACGGCAATCACAGACAATATAGTGCTCTCGTGCACTGCACTGGACTGTCAGTCCGAAGTGTGAACTCAATGAGCCTGTTACTCTCTGGTGTGTTTGCTTGAGTGCTACTCGGGACGCTGTCTTTACCCTCCAGGCCACTGAGGGAAAACCTCTCCTTTAATTCTATAGATGTAATATTTCTAATTGGGCTGCACATCAACCATGGTCAAGGAAGCAGATGGCTGACCTGCTCCGAGGCATCTGGCATTGCTGCTCTGAGCCAGCCACTAGGAGATGTCAGAGGGTGTTCAGCCCATGGCTGAAACCCACCAAGTTTCCGCGCCTTGTGAGCGAGCATCTGGCCATAACAGTGTGAATCTGAGCAGGTCGTAGGGCCATGGGAGGGGTGGAAGGGGAGGGCAGGGTGTACAACTGACACTAAATTGCACTGCCTACTGCAGAATTTTAAGAACGAATCGCCCAAGGTCGTATACACAAATCCATTAGCTAATTTGGCTAAGAGCTCAAGAAAACTAGAAGCTGAATAACAAATGTGAATGCATTTTAATCAGGAGACCAACGCGAGAGCCAAAACTGAACACAGTGACACTTTTTATTGAGTTTCTCCGACACCTACGGAGCCATCAGAACATTAGCCTCAACGCTTGCTTTCTGACTGATGACAGGACCTCAACCATCACGCTTCATGTAAAGTACACTTAGGGGGAATTAAAGTCAAAATGTTGTGTTGAGTGGAGGACTGGATTTAGTTTTATTTTAAGTAAAATTCAAATGGGGAGCAGATTAGTACACGCTGATCCGATCCTATAGGCAGCAAGTCCTGTCACTGGAAAGAACGGCAGAAAGCAGTACTTGGAAAGACTGGCCAGAGAACACTGAACTCCTGCTGTCACTGTACGGCTGGCAGTGAAAGGTGTTGGCAGGAATTTGTGCAACAATGCTTTTTTGGAGAGTCAGCCTTTTGGCAGCGGAACACTGTTAGCTCTCTCACGCTTGCCATAGGAGGTGAGCGCGCAAACCATGCTTACCAGTGTGGCCCCACTTCCCAGGACTTCTTCGCACTACTGGGGAAGCTGGGTCATTGCCGGAAGGGAGTGGTGGGGGGGCGCTGGTGGGTTGGTCAGGTGCCCACTCCCATTCCAGACATGAGGAGGTGGAGGAAGGAAGAGCTATTTATTTAAAAGAATGAGAATCACCTTTTTCGCTGGTGTTTCAAGCTGTCTGCTTGGATCAGGCACACAAATTTGTGGCTTGCGATCCCAATGGGAATGCAACTTTAATGCGCCTTATTTTCCAACAGAATCGCTTCCTTCTCTGCTGCTCGAGATCAGTGAGCAAAGTCTTTCTTTTCAATATCAGTTTCAATGGTGAATTTGAGCTATTTTTGTTGGGGTTCGATAACTTATCGTAGGGCCACTTCCCCCAAAGGTTCTCTGCAGCGAGATGTGTCAAGGGGCGGAGGAGGGGAGAGGAAGGCTTGAATTGTAATTTTTTTTAACGCTTGCTTTTGTGTGGATTCAGCTAGTTCTCAGCTAGACCACAAGGTGGGGCACTACATGGCACTGAAGATGTAGCTTGTTGGGGGGCGGGGGGGGGGTGGCGGGTATTTGGGCAAGGGGGCAGGTGGGAGAAGCAGGAGAAAGTCACACAAAGAGGGAATATTTTTATAAGTTTTATATTAAAGAGTAGAAAATTATACATTGGCTTAAAAGTTAACAGTTTCTTGCAAAGGCCTGAACATTAAGAACTTTTCGGCTGCCATTCACATTTGTAGAGCTTTTACGCTATAAATAAAGATCTTGTTGTTATTAATTTACTGTAAGTTGGACAAGGTCAGCTCTTGGTTTTGTCTGGTCAATGATGTATTAAAGATTGTGTAGTAAGAGGCATTAGACGGATCTCTACAGCACAGAGGTTTTCACCTTCCACTGATGAGATCACCATGGCACTGCCACTGACACGGCTCTGTTAAATGGATGTATTGACGCAGTAATGGGATAATTAGCTCGACTTCTCTGCCATTGCTGAAACCCAACACAAGTCTCACTACGTGTATTTGAAACAGCTCCCTGCATCGTTCTGTAATTTTTTTTTAACGCAGTTCTTTTTGACTGGCTGATCTGTCCAGCTTTCTTTCTCAAACTGCGAACACATTTCGCCCTGTTTATCCGCCTCCTGTTTCGAATTGGCTCCATGTTTCAGCCGCATTCTGTACTGAGTTGCTCAAGGTTGCTCAAGGTCCAGACGCTCTTGCGTTTCTTAGGGCCGTTCATTTGTTAACTACAGAAATGTTTCCATCCTCAGTAAAACGGGAGTAAAAAGTAAATTCACAGGTAGGGTGGTCCGAGGTGGACAAGCAGCAGGAACGCTTGCTAGACACTACTTTCACTGGTAAGCTATGTAGTTATAGCTCTGGTTAAACTCCAATAGAACCCCCAAACGTGCAATTTGGGGTTTCCCTCAGCCTTGGCTCTCGTCAACCAGCGCCTAATACTCTCCAGAAATGGGTAAGCAGGGTGCGTCCCTCCAGAGAGAGAGCGCACATTCCAGGTATAGGGAAATTTCCATGTGTACGAGGCAGATATATGTGGAACTTCAGCATAATGTCAGGTTTCTGCACCCGGCTGACCAAAAAAAAGGACAGCATGAAGGAGAAAAATTGGGAATCGTTCATGACAGGAACTATTGATTGAACCCTTGCTAATTGTATAATTCCACCACAGGCTGCCTATCTGCAATAAACCCCTTTGTGAATTGGCACCAACATAGGCACCACTGCAATATTTCTTGGCCCTACCACCAATTAAAATGAATAATGGATCTTAAAAATTCACCCTGAAATAGGTTCTACGCAAAAACTGCTGACGCAGGAGTCACAAATGAAAGTAATTTTTAGCTTGATTAGCCATGTTTATAACGTGTTTCCTGTAGCTTCATGCACCGGTGGCTGTTTAGGTTTACAGTGTGCGGACGGCAAAGTTTTAATCTAATCTGCCTGTAGATTCTGCCATTAGCTGATAGGAATCACTGTCCCTGCAAGCCTAGGAGCTGATCACAAGTAAAGTGAGCTTTGACCATCTTGTACTGTGGGAAGTGAGCCTAAAGCTAATATACACAATCTACCAGCCACAAACCAGCTGAGTATATAGCTGTTAATGTTTCGGGTTAATTTAACTACGGGTGTGCCATTTACTTTATATAACTCCCTTTCCCCCTTATCTGTAGATTGTGCCCCCAGATATTGGCAGGAAGATGCGTTTTTTTAAATAGCATCACGGTACTAAACGTTAGCGATAGAACAGGAATTCAGATCGCTCTATAAGATGAAGCCAGCACTACCCCCTTACTATCACAACTCCTGTCTGTAGCCATTGCTAAATATTTCCGTTTCCTCCCCCCATCTTTTTTTGCATGTGTAAAAAAACAAAAAAGAATTTGGTCACTCAATCTGCGACTGAGTGTGCGACACTGCTGTGCGCAAATGGCTGCCGCGTTTCGCCCAGAAAAATACAGTCAATCCACTTTACAATATATTCTGTGAAGCACTTTGAGAAGTGCTGACGACGTGATAAGGCGCTCTATCAAATGCAAGGATTATTATTCAACGCCTTGCGACATCCTCCCGACGTGAAAAGCACGATACGAATGTAATCTGTTGTTGTCGTTGCCTTTCCTGCAGTTGGGAGCGAGATTCCTCTCGACATGCGCCTGGGAGGTGGGCAGCTGGTGTCCGAAGAACTCATGAACTTGGGCGAAACCTTCACCGCCACCAACGACCCTTCCTTGAAGCTCTTTCAGTGCGCAGTCTGCAACCGCTTCACCACGGACAACCTGGAGACCCTGGGGCTGCACATGAACATCGAGCGCAGCCTGCCCGAGGAGGAGTGGAAGGCCGTCATCGGTGACTCCTATCAGTGCAAGCTGTGCCGCTACAACACCCAACTCAAAGCCAACTTCCAGCTGCACTGTAAGACAGACAAGCACGTGCAGAAGTACCAGCTCGTGGCGCACATCAAGGAAGGTGGCAAGGCCAACGAGTGGCGGCTCAAGTGTGTGGCCATTGGGAACCCGGTGCACTTGAAGTGCAACGCTTGCGACTACTACACCAACAGCATTGAGAAGCTTCGGCTGCACACGGTCAACTCCAGGCACGAGGCCAGCCTCAAGCTGTATAAGGTAAGCGAGCAACAGACGTGGACACTCCCCAATGGAGCTGGAAATGTTTAGCTAATTCTTCTTTGTTTTGGAACTCGGATAAGAGAGAGAGAGAGAAAATCTAAGATGAAAGGGTAGTTCTATAGTCATCATACTTTGAAATAAGCCTCTGTGCACCACATTCATGTACCTCAAGTTATCCAGAAATGTAGCTCAGTGTTAAAATGTGTGACTGGGTGAAAGCTCTCCATGAAATTGGTGGAGACAGAGTTCCCAGAAGAGAGGTGGGTTTAGATGAGAACATAATCTTCAGGTTTGAGATTCAGACCGATGCTGTCATCTGACACTTGCTTTTGGGTACAGGAAAGAAGGATAAACAGCGTTTGAGTTTTATTGCTGTCGTTCGAAAAGGTGCAGTGAGACTTCCCATCGGGGAGTGGTAAGGATCCCACCCCACTGTAAGTGTCAGTGAGGAAGCAGTGACACAGAAGGCTATCAGTTATGTTACATTGCTTCAGCAGTGATCCCACATGCATGGCTCAACATTAACTTATTTGAAGACGTGCCCATCACACCATTACTCGACAGATTTCACCTGCCTCGTTTCCTGTCTCCCCGGCTTGTATCAACACCAGGTCAATTGGGAAACATTGACAAATCATTTAAATCCCAAAGTTCAAGCATGGCCCTTCTGATACACCAGCACCTACAGCTGAGCTCAGTTACACTTCCCCCACCCCCCTCCGCCAAACTGCACACCATTGGAATAGGTTCAGAACCAGTCTGGCTGTCATGCAAGTGCCTCCCAACACTGCAGCTGCCTGTAAACACCATCAGTTCACACCACCTGAGGCTTCTTGTACTGTAGAGCCATGTTGACCTATTCAGGTGAGGCTAGAGAGATAGTTATTACCACACCTAATGTGCCTTGCTCCACACGTGTGCTCGTAAGCAAGGGAGGGAGGGGTTAATTTGGGAAAATCGCGCACTAGATTTGAAACACTGACGGTGATTTCCATTAACGAATATCATAAGCCGTCCAGTTTTCAATATTGTGTGACCAATGGCTCATTGTGATTTGGCAAAGCCGAGAATGTCTGAACTACCATTTCCAAAGCAGTTTGCAAATATCGCAAATTAGACCCCTATGTGTGCGTCCAAAGGCAGTGTCTCTGCAACGTTCATGCTCGCGTGGATGAAACTGGACTCTGTTCGTTATATCAGAAGGTTAATACCATTAAATAGTGTACCGCTTTTGTAGCAGGAATTTTAATTGGAAACTTATTTTGAATTAAATGCATTAGACCTTTTTTTTTCACACGTAAAATGATTTCAACATCTTCTTTGTGTTTGTCGCACAGAGATGTTGGAACATGAGATCCATTTCAGCTATAAAACCTCTCTGTTAGAATGGAGAGCCCTGTTTAGTGTTTGCCGCTCTCACACCCACCACCTACCTATAAGACTGACAGCTGATGCAAAAAAAACACATGTTAAATGTCTAAGGAGGAGTAACAACAAGCAACAGGATGATATTTTGTGTGACACTTTGGAACAGAGTTGAACTAGTTCATAAAATATACTTGAAGAAGGTAGCGAGAGGCGATCATGACATTGGTTTGCGGAATGGAAATGCTGCAAGGTCCTGGGCAATCTCACAGTAACCAGAAAACAGCAGGGTTTTTTACACGCTAATTAACAAAGGAAAGCGAGGGCTGTTGACTTGGCCTGGAGCTTAAAATTCTTCTGATATTTCAGATTTCTTCCTCCTCAGTGTGTAACTTAGCTGCTCTCATGACACTTGCCGTAAAATCTGACGTATGTGATCCCGTTACCCGTGTTTTTATAGCCTGTCAGTTTAGGTCGCGATTGATGAAAGGGTGGGTGATGGGGGTTGATTCTAAGTCCAATGGGAGACTCTTAAACAGGCCTGGGGTTTATGATCTGCATTTTTAAAAGAAATTCGGGGTCGAGTTTAGATCTTCTTAAAGGGGCACATTTCAACTTTCAGGCTATTTTTTTTTGGTGGTGTACGTAAGTGCCAGGGTTTTTTCTTTGACTGCATCAACCTTGATCTCTCAGAAGTGGGGATGGGTTGGGTGTGAAAGAGCAGGCTTTGCTGGTACAGCTTCTGAGAAGCTCTGTGCCCCTCCCACTCCTTTGCTGCTTAACGGAGAATTATGCATCCGCTGCGAGCTACAGAGCAATCCTAGTTCTCGGAGAGTTAAACCCTTCAAATGCAAGCCGTTTTGGTGCTTAAAATGTGATGTATTTGTATCACAGCACAAAGGAATTAAAGCACATTGACCCGCTTCAGCAAATACATATTCCTGGTCGAAGAATGTATTGCGTATCCTAATTGAGGAGAAACAGTGTGACTTTCAGTTTGCCTGTGATATCAGTAACATCATATCAATATTGTGATGGCATTGAACAGCAAACCCCCAACTGGAGTTGCTCAGTGAATTGCCAGAGAATTGGAGGTGACACAGGCACATTCGGGGTTTGCAGTTAGTGGATTTCACACAAATCTAATGATATTGAGCACAGTTTCCAATCTGGAAGAATTTTTTCACACGTCGTTTTATGAAAGGGACAAAAATCACTCAACATCTGACTTCAGAGCAGTGTTCAGGTAAGTACGCAGCAAGTCTGGACTCAGCTCTCTGTAACCTAAGACGGGATAAAGATCCAGTTAATGGTACTCGACGCAGGCAGCTGAATTGCTGTAGACAGTTGTATTGATTTTCACTGGACTTAAAGCTTCACCTTTTTCTCTAATCATTCCATAATGGCTTTAGTATGAACAATCAGGTACAAATGGCCATAAATCTACCAGCCTTATTCCACTTACCTTCCACTCAATGTCAGGCACAGACTTGTAGTTAACCCAACTTGGCAGTAGCTTTGGGACAATTTTTTTTAGAAAGCAGCCAGTAAAGCTGTTCCATTTAAAAATAAAGATAGGATCACAGAAGAGCCTGTGTTTGGGAGTGGGTTCTCTGTACGGTCCGAGAGTATCACTTTGCCAGACTAGACCCTCTCAGCAAAGGCCTGTCGTGTGACGTGCTTGAAATATCGCCCGTGTGTGAGCCTCGCTCCTTGGGAATGTATCTCATGCAGCAAGAGCAGAGTGGAGCATGCGTCCATCCAGCTCCAGTCGAGACTGGGAAGTCTTGTTTTAGGGCAAGAATCGATTATTGATCAACTGGACAATGAACAGAATTTTCCAAAAAAGCAAATTCCCATCCACATTAAAAACAAAAAGGCCCGTAATCTCCTCAATCCATTCACATTGCAACATATCCTTCTATCCATGATTTTACTAATGGGTTTTGGGGTTTGCATTTGCAGGAGCTGGTGCCCTAATCTGCCGCCAAAGTGACCCTGCTGCGTTTCTTCTTTATTTATATATTTCAAGTCAAATTGGTTGCAACGTGACAATTGCCCAAGTTTTTCTTTTTTTAAAAAAAAAAGCAAAATGTTGGCTTTTGATGTTGTGGGGATATGAGTTTGAAATCTATATGGTTATGTGTGTGTCTGGAGCCTGCAGTTTGGCATTTAAGATAAATGGTAAATGGCCTGTTGCAATGATGAGATTAACTGCGATGGACACATGAGATTGCACACAGGCGCACATTTAGTCCAGTGTTTGGTTCCATGGGTTTTGACTGAATCTGTGCGATGGTCTGTGCTTCATGGAAACCCCACACCAGGTCGCTGCATTCAGCCAATCACTGACAATTGCAGTCCAAGGACCCACTAAAATCTTTCCTAGAAATACAAAAATATATCCATCACAAAATATGGCACTTCAATGCCCTATGAGTCAATTGGTGCTGCAGTTTTAAAAGGAATCTGGATAGGGGGTTGGACTGGACACTTCTCTGTGCTAGAAATTATGCCTCTGAATGTACCTGCCTCCTGCGTAGCTGAGTGGTGTAAATTATTCACTGATCAATCGCATTTGCGTGTCTCACCTTGGTTAATGGCTAATTTTAGTTACAAGTCACCAACAGACCTTGGAATGCCATCTCATTCCCAAATTCCACAACCTCCATTGTGTTACGTGAATCTCATAGTCCGCAGGCCGAGACAGCCCCTCTTTCAAAATCTACACCCATAATTATTTGGTGCTGCCTCCATCCCGCATGCTGCAGAAGCCGTGGGTCGTTTTGGGAATGGACTCTCCTGTGACCGGCACTCAGAATTGTATGGGCAGGAGAAGTGTCTTTCAAGGCCCTGTCATCTGCTCTGGTTCCTGGCTCCTGTGGAGCTGAACCATTCTACCAGTACATGGTCTCTTGGTGAGAAGCCATGAATTACAGCTGAGATTGGAATTTGGGAATGTACTCTTTAAACATCCATTAGTCTCTCTGGTGGCTCAATGGGTGAATGGACATGCTCCGATCAGATTGAGTTTAATCTGCTAATTTCTCGGGGATCTGATCTCAGCCACGTTTACAATGGGGTGGGGGGGGGGGGGGGGGGTGTACAATTAGCCTCACTGGGGGAGGTCTAAAGCAAGCTAATCATTAACACTAGGTGAACTTTCATGTGTTTGTAATGGGATTTTATGTGTTTAGAGTGAAATTTTAGCTCGTATTAATGATCGGCATGAGTTAGACTTCCAGGGCTCGGAGGGAGGGGGGAGGGGAGGGGGGATTGAGGAGGAGGAAGAAGCATCAGCTCCTAGTTGCTGTTGGCTGACCTCTGGTGGAAAAGAACATGTGGATATCAGAGGACAGTATCGGGATCTTCTGCACAGCAGCCCCCAGTCAGCTATCTGCTGATGCTCGTTGCCCAGGCTCACATAGCGAGATTGGCTCTTGCGGAGGAGTCCAAGGGCAGCTTGTGGAGCTTTACTGCAGCCCAGAGGAAAGGAGGGGAGAGGAAATCAATCGTAGCCACTTGCTGAATTCAGATTCTATTCAGCATACATCTCAGGGATGAGGGTGTTGATTTTTATGCTGTCTCATTAGTAAAATGACAGCATATGGTGTCCGATGTTTCAAAATAAA